CAAACTGTAATTAAAATATTAAATTATTAATTAATGCTGGGGTTACTTTATAATGGCTAATCTACAGTACTATTCTTAAGTGTAGTTTTGGTATCGGAAATGTATAATCATCTACATGTACATACATAAAATACATAAAAATGAAGTGAAGACTTTTTGAAATACAGAGAAATTAAAAATAATAGGAATTAAATTAATCTTGAATTATTTAATGTTCGAAAAATATAGTTAACACTCTCATGGTGAGCACAGCTTCAGTGTTATATCTCCACGGAAACGTGTGAGAGTTTCCACAGCAACTTTATGTGAAATATTCTCGAAACTGATTCCATTAACAGAGAGTATAACGTCACCCTGTCTGATCCGCCCATCTCTAGCAGCTGTACACTCAGGGATCACTGAGCGGATACATATGGAGAGGTCCCCATTGGGACTTCCCTTATCACCAGCCACAGAGAAATCCAATCCTTTAGGACCCCAAGTGAGCTTAACGTAACGTAAACTAATAGAAAGAAAAGAAAACATTAATAATCCATTAGGTATAATCCATAGGATTAATGGTATAATCCATAGGATTTGGAGACACTGTCAATAATAGTTATTCACCATTATTAGATCTATATAATCAAGATCAATTCTTAAATTTTTACAAATTACAGAAAATTTAAAAAGTAAGACGAGACAAAAAGATTTAATAAATTTTTATTCAAAGATAAGTAAATATAACACAGCAAATTTTGACAATAACATGAATGAATAAAATAAAATGAATGTAATAAATTTCCATTACAGCTGTAATCTTCATAATAAATAGCATATGCTAATTGAAAAGGAATATATAATATAAAAATATAGTACAGTTGAAAGACTTGCTCAGTTAAAGAGTACAATGATTTTGATAATTCCTTTTAATAGTCCAACATACACTAGGTAACTTTGTCGCCAGAACTTTTGATGCCGTCAGGTAACTTGTTGCTGCTGAAAGTTGAGAGTCTCTCTACTTTATACAAAACATGTTGCAACTAACGACACAAAAGCTCTGACCACAAGTTGAAAGTTGCCTAGCTATGTCGAGATCAAGTGAAGCTCAGTGACAGGTGCAGGAGGAGGGAATGGAAGAAATACAGGAGACACAACTAATCGATCTAAAAGTGTATAAAAAGTTAAAAACATCAATATACACACTATATAACTATTGGACAGGCTTACCATGATAATTTGAAATTTCCAAGCTATATGGTATAAAGTCCAAAGGAGGTATATCTATTAATAATATTACATTAATACAGTAAGACAGTGTATATATTTATGTAATAACACTGACCAGTGGATACTTGGGAACAATAGCTGGTTGCTTCCATTGCAATATAATAATAACTACAATGAAAGGAAATTATGATTAACTAGATGCTTATCAAAGGACAAAGTTCAGTCATTATGGTCAATTGGAATACTAAGGTTATATAACCTCTTAATGTAATTACACACACTGAATGCTAGAGTAACTTGTATACAATTTTGAGCAACTTTAAAGGTTCGTAAAAATTCCAAATTTGATCTAAACCAGGTCAAACTTTCTACTCAACATAAAAACATGTATGTGTATCAGAAAATGTAATAAAAATGTAGAATTCTTTTCATTTTTGGCAAAATTGGGCCAAAGTCCCTGTACTATATAGTACAGGGATTTTGGTCTGATTTTGGAGCAACTTTAAAAATTTGTAAAAAGTCCAAATTTTACCAGAACCAGCTCAAACTTTCTACACAACATAAGTACATGTATATGTATCAGGAAATGTAATAAAAATGTAGAATTCTCTACTTTTCATTTTTGGCAAAATTAGGCCAAAGTCCCTGTACTATATAGTACAGGGATTTTGGTCCAATTTTGAGGAAACTTTAATAGTTTGTAAAATAATTAAATTTGATCGGAATTAGCTCAAACTTTCTACGCAACATAAGTACATGTATATGCATCAGAAAATGTCATAAAAATTGAAAATTCTCTACTTTTCATTTTTGGAAAAATTTGGCCAAAG